GTCTACATCTGCACCGCCACCAGTCCAGTGGGCTACGCCAGTCGAGAGGTCCAGCTGAGTGTCAACAGTAAGACGGACGCACAGGTCAGAGGTCAGACAGAGGGTCTGACCTCTGACCTGACCCTGGTTCTCTAGTCAAACCTCCTGCTGGAGATGGATGGATGGATGGATGGATGATGAATGATGGATGATGATGGATGATGATGGATGATGGATGCATGATGATGGATGGATGGATGGACAGATGGTTGGATGGATGGATGGGTGGATGGATGGATAGATGGATGATGGATGATGGATGGATGGATGGACAGATGGTTGGATGGATGGATGGGTGGATGGATGGGTGGATGGATGATGGATGATTGATGATGGATGGATGATTAATGGATGGATGATGGATGATTGATGATGGATGGATGATTAATGGATGGATGATGGATGATTGATGATGGATGGATGATTAATGGATGGATGATGGATGGATGGATGATGAATGATGGATGATGGATGCATGATGATGGATGGATGATGATGGATGGATTGATGGATGATGGATGGGTGGATGGATGGGTGGATGGATGATGATGGATGGATTGATGGATGATGGATGGATGGATGGACAGATGGTTGGATGGATGGATGGGTGGATGGATGGGGGGATGGATAGATGGATGATGGATGATGGATGAATGGATGATGGATGGATGATTAATGGATGGATGATGGATGGATGGATGGATGATGAATGATGGATGATGGATGATGATGGATGATGGGTGGATGATGATGGATGATGGATGAATGGATGATGGATGGATGATTAATGGATGGATGATGGATGGATGATTAATGGATGGATGATGGATGATGAATGATGGATGATGATGGATGGGTGGATGGATGATGGATGGGTGGATGATGGATGATGGGTGGATGATGATGGATGATGATGGATGATGGATGATGGATGCATGATGATGGATGGATGGATGGATGGATGATGATGGATGGGTGGATGGATGGGGGGATGGATAGATGGATGATGGATGATGGATGCATGATGATGGATGGATGGATGGATTGATGGATGATGGATGGGTGGATGATGGATGATGGATGAATGGATGATGGATGGATGATTAATGGATGGATGATGGATGGATCCTGTTTTACTCTCAGATGTCATACGTCCTAGTGGATGTCAGTGGTACTACATGTACCTACAGACAGGTGCGTTGGTGTCCAGTACTCTGTAGTGACCCCTGGTGGTGTTCTACCCTTCTGTCTCCTCCCCCCCAGCTGTTCCCGTCCTAGTGGGGGTCAGTGACCCCGGGACCCCCGTGACCCCCGTGACCCTGACCGCAGAGGCGGGAGCT